TGTGGCTTGTCTTCGATATCATAAGAGTTCTGATTAAAAGTCTCGATGCCTTCCGAAAGTCAGTTTGAATTGCAACCTTTCACTTCCTTCAAAAGCACCGCCGCTGCAGACCGCAGCTGAAGCGGCCATCGTCTCATCTGTGGGTCCGCCAAGAGGTGCCCAATGTGCTTTCCGGCCTACATTCCCCTTTCGACATTGACTACTTTTAGTTCCTTATCAGAGTACATCCTGTTGTGTAAACCCTTAGCGCAACCGCCGTAGGGCAACAAGATTAAGCAATTTTCTAGACTCGTAACTGTTGCCTCAGCTAGCAGTCCGATAAATCATTTGTTATTTATATACTAATTGATATGAGGAAATGGATCCGGTAAAGCAAAGGGAGACCGGAATGGCCATTTCTGGGTTGAAAAAGTTGCTAACTATGAGCTTTTTTACGATTATGAGGTCGTCATTCATAGTGCATCGTATCCGTCAATTTATTACTGCTGCTTTAACTGCATAAAATATGTTCCAAATCTATTTCAATATTTTATGACTACTATGTAACTTCTTCCTCAAAATGTAGGCAAAAAGGTACTTTTCCTTAAACAGGATGTACACATTGCGCAGTTTTTAAACCTTGAATTCGAGTGTAGCAGTCCCTAGTTTAGAAAATTATTCGGCAATTGAGCAAATTTTTTTTAAAAACTGAAAGCTACCCTTTCTTTGAGTATAAAATTTAAACAAGACGTAATTTGCTATCAAACAACTACATAAAAAAATTTTTTCCATGCATGTTTACCGTAAAATATCTTTGAATTTATAAAGGCAGTGAAAATAAATAATTAAAAGGCATGCTACTTAAGTAGCCAGTTTTTTAATATATACATTTTGTTAGTGGTCAGGAAGAAGCTCGTTAAAAAGCCCGCATCCTATCATAATTCAAATGACTTCAGAATAGCCTACACGATAATCAGTATCACAACTTGAGTCAATGCGGATTAGCGAACGAGTATCAGTCTTTCGCATATGTCGAAATGTTGTGTGATATTTGGCGTCTACTGTAATTGTGAGCTCCTAAGCGAAGCGGAACTTAGTTGCTCCTCTATCAGTTCGGCGAAGCCGATATATTCGTCACCACTCAATATATATTGGCTTATTCTAAATTATCGCCTTTATTTTATTGTGGCTGATGGACTTCAGCCGAAATATTCACATCATTTGTCAGACTGACCACATAGTTTTTTCCCTGAAATATTTGACTCATGTTTTCGCATGTATTTCCGAGCGAGTAAACAAGCCTGGTGGCATATTATCAGTTCAGAAGTTGTCTTCGAGTTAAGAACTTTATTTGTCAAAACATATGGTAGATTCGATGAACATATGTATACATAGAGGTGGCTATAGACTGCGCTTATTTTGAAGTCCTAGTTGATATGCCGATGCTAGGTGAATTAAATATTGACACATTATTTTAGGAGCAGTGCTTATCTTAACGGACCGCCCAAGCCAACGCTGGCT